AACCCTAAACCCTAAACCCTAAACCCGATGTCGGCGTTGGCGCAACGTTGGCACCCAACATCTGAGAAAGCGGCCGCCCCGTAGTCTACCAAGAGCTCTTCCTCCGGCTGCCAGAGGTCAGGTTTCACGCCCTAAACCCTAAACCCTAAACCCTAACCCTAAACCCTAAACCCTAAACCCTAAACCCTAAACCATGAAGCCTCAACCCTGAACCCTCAACCCTAAACCTCCTGCTCAGCAATCGCCAGCCATGCACGCTAAAACCCGAAGCAACAAACACATTTGGATTTCTGGGGTTCTCGGACCTGGGATTGAGGGCATTCATATTCCTACGCCGAATCAGGGTATACTAAGCCCTAAGCCCGAAACCCATCACCCAGGTTCCCCCCCCCCCGCCCCCCCCCCCGCCCCCCCCCCCCGCCCCCCCCCCCGCCAAAGGTTCAGGGTTCATAGGGTTTGGGTTTAGGGTTTAGGGTTTAGGGTATAGGGATCAGGGTTTAGGGTTTAGGGTTTAATTAGGCCTTAGGGCTTAGGGCGCAGGGGTTAACTACAATTGAAGGGCCCAGGAAAGCCCCCCTGGAGCTTGAGAGCCAAGTTGCCCCAGGCTTAAACCCGGCCCCCAAAAGCCTAAACATTGCCAGACTGGCAAGTGGGCCTAGGAAGCTCTTGCCACCTCTGAGCACGCCTTGCTGATAAGACGACTCTGGGGATACCCCGGCGATGTACTACTGACCTGCCGGGCCTGGGGGCTTGCTAGGTCAGATTTCGGGTTTAGGGCAACCCTAAACCCTAAACCCTAAACCCTAAACCCTAAACCCCAAACCCTAAACCCTAAACCCTAAACCGTCTGAGGGGCTCGCCGACCCTAAGCCCTGCTCATTACTCCCGTCCTGAAGGCCGCCATACTCGTCTTTGGCCTTGGAACCCCCATCGGATGACTGGATTGAAGAGAGGTCTTGGGGTGCAACAGACGTGCATGTGTACGCATGTCCCATAAATGTTACATACACACATATACATACATGTATAAGTATATCCTTAAACACATGCCTGTGATTGTTGGGTACATTTGCATGTTCTAAAACGAGGTGTAGGCATGTCGCCAGGCAGCCTTCATAGTTCCTGAGTACGTACATTGCCCACCACTTCGGACGTAGGTTTGACTTGGGAACCTATTAGTCTCCATGCCTTGCCTCACCTCCATCAAGGTCAACTAAACCCTAAACCCTAAACCCTAAACCCTAAACCCCTAAACCCTAAACCCTAAACCCTAAACCCTAAACCCTACATTGGCCAGGAAATATGTCGGAAGTCTTGTCTTATCCATTGGGCATGCATGCTGTCTTTCACAAGGTACCAAGTTCCTCCATTCTGTCTAGGTATAGCAAGCTTAAAGCTACATATGTCGGTTCCACATTGACGTTTGTGCGTATGTGTCCTGATGCAATCAATGTCCAGTTCCTCAACACAATTTCAAGGTATGCTGTGTTGCATCAGCTTGTGCGGTAACACTTCGCACTAAGGCAGATGTTTCACTGCTGAATATGCCGGCCAGTGCCTGTGCGCGCCAAGAGCCCCTGCTCCCCCCCCAACCCCAACCTTGAACCAAAGCCCTAAACCTCTCGACCCCTCAGGCAACCCTAAACCCGAAACCCCAAACCCTAAACCCCAAACCCGAAACCCCTAAACCCTAAAACCTCTGAGCAGCTGGCATCCGGACGAGAGCTTGACGAGCCTCCATAACCACAGTTCCTGAGATCGGAACTGCAGTCCCTCAGGTCAAGTTGGGTCAGTTCTCAAGATGATGAGGGTTGAGGGTTGAGGGTTGAGGGCTTAGGGCTTAGGGCTTAGGGCTTAGGGCTTAGGGCTTAGGGTTTAGGGTTTAGGGTTTAAGTGTGTAGGGTTCAGGGTTTCGGATGGTCCCCTTCTTCTGGGTACCCTAAATTTTCAGGGCCGCCTTACAAGAGTAACCCCAAAAGAGGCCAGAATTGAGAGAAGTAACCATCCAAGGGTTTACGGAGTTTACGGGGCTTCTTAGGGCTTTGGGTTTAGGACCTCAGTCTTTAGCTCTTAGGGTTTGGGGCGCTGGATGGCCCCAAAGAAGTGGTGGCGGGAGACTCGGGAGTTCCGGTTTAGGGCTTGGGGCTTTAGGGTTTAGGGTTTAAGTTTAGGGTTTAGGGTTTAGGGGTTTAGGGTTTAGGGTTTAGGGTTTAGGGTTTAGGGTTTAGGGGGGCCCCTAAGGGTCCATGTACCTACATGTGGAATACTACCTCCTATTTAGGGACTTTAGGGCCCAAGTACATAATAATGAGGTGCATGGACCCTTAGGGGACGACTCTTGGGATGCTGGGCTTAAGGTTTGGGTTTTGGGCTTAGGGTTTTGAGGTTCAGGGCTTAGGGCTCTAGGTTGTCTGAAGTAATTTTGCAGGCCTTTAAAGCGCCAAAACTGAGAGGAGCCTACCTGCCCCATTCTCCCCGTCCCAACAAAAAAAAGCACACGTCAAGAAGGCAATCCGAACTTCCCGCAGTGTCTTTCACGCCAAGCATCTTGTTGGCGGTGCCCGCTGGTGAGTTGGCATAGCCGAGCTTCCTGCAAACAGCAGAGGCAACTGGCTAGGCCCAGGCTTGTGGTCCCTAAACCCTAAACCCTAAAAACCCCAAACCCTAAACCCAAAACCCAAAACCCTAAACCCTAAACCCTAAACCCTCTCTTGCCACTTCTCCAAGCTTTCTCTCTTCTACAGCACAGGACCCTAAGTGTCCACGTACCTCATTCTTGTGTACTTGGGCCCTAACGTCCCTACATAGGAGGTACTTTAAGGCACAAGTATTGCCCATCCTAGCCTGACCAAGATACTTGCAGCGCCTTCGTGAGAGTCTCAAGACGCACATGGCAGGATACGACATGCCCTCTCTAGCGCCAGGGTGAGATGTTGTTGTCTTTTTCCAGTATAACCCTAAACCCTAAACCCTAAACCCTAAATCCCAAACCCTAAACACTAAACCCTGAACCCTAAACCCTAAACCCCAAACCCTAAACCCTAAACCCTAAACATTATGGACATGGCGGTGTTGCCTTCCCGGCCCGCCACGAGAACTTGCGTCCTGGCCATGACCGGCTGACAGTAGATTGCAAGCTGCCGGATGCTTGGCTGACTTCTGAACCCCCTCCTAAAAAGTTTAACTTTTAGTCTCCTTATTGTATTTTCCACAAAAGTCAAAACAAGTTTAACTTTTTGTCTCCTTATTGTAGTTTCCACAAAAATCAAAAAAAAAGCCCTAAGAGGCCAGCCGGAAGAAAGCCAAGGATTGGTACAGTGGGCGGGATATTGTGGTAGTTCCCCGGTTCTGGGCCCCTGTATGTCTCCCCCAATTACCTACACGTTCATGGGACTCGACCCTACAAGGAGGGCCCCCTTACCATACTACCTATTGTTAAGGGACTTATAACCTGAGTTAGGATCCTTATGACCCAATTTAGGGACCTGATCATTCTACTTATAGCTAGGGGGGGGGGGGGCCCTCCTTGTATGAGACTGTTCCCTAAAACCCGAAACCTTGAATGTGTTTCCATCTACGCACTTATACGGTTTGGGGTTTCGGGGACGGGTACCCCCTAAATCCTAAACCCTAAACCCTCAACCCTCAACCCTGAACCCTGAACCATGAACCCTGAACCCTGAACCCTAGCAAGCCAGAAGCACTGCTAAAGTTTGCCGGCGTCACGCCATCTCCTTTGGCATCCTTCACGACGCGAAGCCCGACGATAGACGGAGCGTCAGGCTGGAAGGCCGGCAGGGTCAAAGCTCTTCTTGGCTTGGGGCTTGGGGTTTAGGGTTTAGGGTTTAGGGTGTAGGGTTTATGGTTTAGGGTTTCAGGTTTGAGGAAATGAACTTGTTTCTGAAGATGGGGCCGCGTGACTTTCGGGCTACGTGCTGGCAGAGCCTGCGTAGGTAAGCCTTACAGGGCTTACGTAAACCTCTTCCAACCCTAAACCCTAAACCCTAAACCATAATCCCTAAACCCTAAACCCTGAACCCTAAACCCGGTTTAGGATTCAGGGTCTAGGGTTTAGGATTTAGGGTTTAGGGTTCAGGGGCAAGAGTGCTTTGGCTTTGCATGGGTAGCATGTACGGGACCCCAAACGGACAATAATCTCAAGTTATCGTCACCCTAAACCCTAAACCCTCAACCCTTAACCCTCAACCCAAAACCCAAAAAGCTAGACCCATTTACTTCGCCAGCTGCCTCCTTCTTCGCGAGTTCCTCGATCACCCGGCTGAGGACCTTCAGCCGCGGTCTAGGAGGTTTAGGGTTTAGGGTTTAGGGGTTTAAGGTCAAGGGTTGAGGGTTTTCCAACTGCAGCCTCTTGGCCATGATGTATAGGCTTAGATTTGGAGGTCCAGGTAGAGGTTTAGGGAGAAGAGTAGGCTTTTGGAAGCGGCCTGCAAGCATAGGCGAGTATAGGGCCAGTTTCATTGAGTAGTAGTGTATATCCAATATATATATATATATATTCAATAAATAAATATATATATATATGTATTCTGTATTCATTCATTTATATATATATATATATATGTTCATTTATTTATTTACTTATATTTATATCTATATTTCTATTCATATTATATTTACATATTTACACAAGGTCATAAGATTCCAGGGGCAAGGTTGGTAACTATTTCGGCTCCTTTGTTATAAGGTTCATGGATGTGTAGAAACCCAAGCTGTCTAGTACGGTCTGCGGGGTTTAAGTTCGAGGGCTTCATGGCGTTTACAAGGGTTGGGATGCTGTACTTTCCTACACAAGTTTTGCAAAACCCCAAGAATTAGGTCCCAAGCCTTAAACAAGAAGCCCTTGACCCAAAGCTCCAGCTCAACATAGCCTGATTCCGCCGACAGAAGAGCAAAAAGCAAACCCAAATCCCAAAACCCCCAAACCCCCAAACCCTAAACCCTAAACCCTAAACCCCTCACCCCCTCCTCCCACCCCAGTCTCAGACTGCCGCCCAGCCGACGGTGGCGTCTTTCTCTGCCTTCCATGAGTCTTGGGTCTCAGAGATTCAGGCTCTGGCGTTTTAGGGTTTAGGGTCTTGGGTTTAGGGTTTAGGGTTATTAGGGTTTAGGGTTTAGGGTTTAGGGTTTAGGGTTTAGGGTTTGGGTTTAGGGTTTCGGGTGCGCAGACCCGCCTTATGACAAGGAGTATGGTATTCTGGGTACATGCGGGCTAGTGGAGACACCCACATTTCCAACCGACAACTCCAGCCATGTCAGAGCCTACCCTTCCAGCCCATGACGAACCCTACCCCCTAAGGGTCCATGTGCCTATATAGTCTACACTTGGGCCCTAAAGCTACTATATAGGAACCCCTTTGAGGCCTAAGTATACACTAAATAGGTACATGGAATCTTTGGGACCTGTAGTCAGGTGGGGTTGGGGCAGCCTAGGGAGCAAACGAGCACCTGAAGCCCTGGCTCCTGTGGGGAAAGCCGTCTGAACCCCAAACTCTCAAGCCCCCAACACCCCTAAACCCTAAACCCTGAACCCCAAAACCGAAACCCTAAACCCTAAAACCTAAACCCTCCAACGAGAACACACCCAAGCCCCTTGAACTCGAAGCCCAAAACCCCATCCGACCCTGAAAACAGCAAAGCGGCCTGCACCCAGATCTCGACGCGCCGATCCTCAGGCTCCTCCCCTTTTTTGGTGGCCTGGCGTAGGCTTCTTGAAACTTGAAGACTAGACGCGCAAATTCGTTGAGGGGTTAGGAGATGATGGGTTTTGGGATTCGAGGGTGGACGGACGGTGCAGAATATCTGCGGCGCTGCAGCATCAAAGTTCTGCGGCGTGCCTTGCGGATGTGCCCAGCGACCAAGACCATGTTGGACGACCGCCCCTGGAAGGGCGCTCAAGGCTCAAGGTTTGGGGTCTAGTGATGGCTAAGGCTTGCGACGTAGTGCATGCGGGTCGCTGGCACACAAAGGCTCGACGACCCCAACTCTTAAGGCCCTCAACCCTAAACCCCCCTAAACCCCTAAGCCCGAAACCCCTAGAAACACCGAAACCCGAAACCGGTTCAACAAAAGCCTGACTATGGCGCGAAGTGCCCCCTTTCCCGCCCCACCTTCTTCTTGGGCGGTGAAGGTTGTAAACCTCCCGACCGGCTGTTCAGGCTTAGCGCTCCGGGTTTCGGGTTCAGGGTTTAGGGTTTAGGGTTTTAGGGTTGAGGGCTTATTGTTAGGGCTTCGGGTTCATCGGATGTTTACTTGCGACCTCCGACCACGAATGAATGAAGAACGAAATCTTAAATTTCATTCGCCCTGAAATCTCAGGAAGCCCAGATGTTTAACAATTCTACCGTTGCCTCCTACCGTTGCCTCCCGAATGCCTAAACCCTAAACGCTAAACCCTAAACCCTAACGCCTATCCTCCAAAGCCTAATCCCTATAGTAAGTTTGAGATTCGGGAAAACGCGCGGGAGGTAACTCCTTAGTGAGCACTAGCATAATGGATTGGATGGAGTACTGAGCCCACCTTCCATCAGGGCGAACGTAACTCGTACGAACTACTGGGAGAGCGTAAGCAAGCAGGAGCGCGTGCACCCTCTCTCAGTGAAAAAACCTAATTTAGGGTTCAGGGTTTGGGTTTGGGGTTTAGGGTTTAGGGGTGGCGTTTAGGGTTGAGGCAGCTTGCTGAATAAGCAACTGGGCTCCACATGCCACACGTGCGCCCGGCCTAACCCTAAACCCTAAACCCTAAACCCTAAATCCTAAACCCTCAACCCTCCGCAAATCTTGAACCTCGACTCTTCTCCCCTCATCACTGCCGACAATCCAGAATCCCTTTAGGGTGTGGCTCATGGACTCCATGAGACAACCCTTGGGTTTAGGGTTTAGGGTTTAGGGTTTAGGATTCTCGGGTTTGCAGGGTTTGCAGGGTTTAGGGTTTGGATTTAGGGCCAAAGCAATGATCAGGGGGAGATTTTTCGGTTCAGTTGAAAACAACTTCCTGCCCTCACCCATAGCCAAGAGCCGTGACACTGTGCTTTACAGGAAGCCGCCTTGCGCGAACTCGTTTACCACGGCGTTCCCCATGGCCCTGGGGCAAGGGTGGCGGCGTCAGGGTGGACTCGACCCAAACCTGTAGGCCGAAAGCCCACAAAAACGAAACCCCCTGAACCGTTTCAGGGTGTAGGGTTGTCGCATGAGCTCCTTACGAAGGACGCCGGCTTCTTGCTGCTAAGCTCGGGTACATGGTGTTGAAGTCTTGCGTGCTTGGCTCTTCGTGGCGAGTATTGTTATCCCACATGACCCAGGCAAAAGGACGCACAGAACCTGGCTTAAACTCCCAACCCAACCTCCAGCTCTAACCCTGGGCTGTAGGGGCGAAATACTCTGCATACTGACCCCAGAATTTATATACTGTCTACCACAGTGCCATTATGAGGGGCTGCAAAACTCCTCCGCACTACCGCAACACGTAGTTCCGAGGCTGTTCCCTGAACCGTAAACCCCTAAACTCAGAACGTGCACGCAGACCCTCATTTGTAGTTCCTTCTTTCAAGGGACTAAAGGTGAGAAATCCCAAACCTGATTGTGTTTAGGGTTTCGGGTTTTAGGTTTAGGGTTCAGGGTTTAGGAAAGCCCAAACCTTAGGCCTCTGAGGATGTGGGGCCCCCGGACGCCTTGCGATGCGCGAGCCGGCGGCAGCGTCCAAGCTCGCAGGGGGCAAGGCTCTGCTGTGCAGAAACCTAATTAACCCCTGAAACCCTAAAGCCCTAACTCCTAATTTAAGACCTATAGGAGCTAAAAGCAGAAGACAAAGTAACCCCCCAAAAAACCCTAAAAATCCTAAAGCCGTAGACCCCGAAAGCTCTACCACCGGACATCGCTGTATTCTGGCGTCTGACTGGGCTTTAGGGCTTGCGTCTGACTCGAAGGGTCTTGGTGGCCTACGCAGGCGTGTCGGATGCAAGCTATGTCTTGGAAGTTTCTAGGCCATCACGTGCCTTGTCCACTCCAGTATGCCAGACAGCATGTGCCTTCTTAGTGGCATCTTATCCGTGCGTAAGATTATGGATCGAACCCTGTCGCTACACACATACCGTGAACATCGCTCATGATTCGGGATTTGCTGCTCGTCAGGGAACGACCTTGAGCAAAAAGCTCCGTGAGCAGCGCAAGGAACGTCTGGAACCTCGTGGTCCTCACTGATGGCATGAGGAATTGGCACATGACGTCTTTGGCAAGCATGGACTTTGTAATTACCATGAACCTTCCAAAGACCCAATGGCGCAAGGCTGCTATCCTTTCTCCTTACCCTGGGCAGATACCAGAGAGTGGTGCGGCTCTTTCCGCTTGAGGCAGTGACATGCGGGCATCAGTGAGGCCCAGAGTTTGTCGCGCACCTCGTGCGACGACAACGCTGTCTCCCAGAGGCAGTCCATCATCGACAGGAAAATGGCCATCACAAAGATGAGGCTGTCAGCCGCAGCGACAAGCCACCGACAGTCCGCGCGGGCAAAAGTCAAATCGACTCATCGCCATGGTCCTCCCGGTCCACCTGGTTGGTTCGCGCTTAGGGCCTAGGGCTTTGAAGATTCTAGAGATTTTGCGCTCTGCAGAAGCTTGGAGGAAGAAAATTGACGCTTGGAATGTTGTGAGGGTTCACGTGCCTTTGCCCAAGTCTCGCCTGGAACGCTGGTGCCTGAATAAAGGAACAATAGATCTCAAGCCATGTAGGTAGGTTTCCTTCTGTTCCAATGGAAAAGGCTGTGCCCTAAACCCTAAAAACTCTAAGCCCTGTATTTCCTCAAGACTTGTTCTCACGCATAAGAACTAAAAATTGGGATTGCCCCCCTCATACTAACAGTCCTCAATAGGGATAATCATACCCCCTATATAATCCCTCTTGAGGACTATTAGCATAAGGGGGAACATCCCAAGTTGCGCTAAACCCTAAACCCTAAACCCTAAACCCTAAACCCTATAAACCCTAAACCCTAAACCCTAAACCCTAAACCCTACATCCCTAACTAAAAATGGCAAACCATATGGCTTCTGGCCTTCGCTTTGATGACGCTCTTTTCCGACGTCATGTCACTGGAACGAGGTCGGCGCCTGGCACCGTTTTAGGGTTTAGGGTTTAGGGTTTTAGGGTTTTAGGGTTTTAGGGTTTCAGGGTTTCAGGGTTTCAGGGTTTCAGGGTTTTAGGGTTTTAGGGTTTTAGGGTTTAGGGGTTTAGGGTTTTAGGGTTTTAGAGTTTAGGGTTTAGGGTTTTAGGGGTTTAGGGTTTTAGGGTTTCAGGGTTTAGGGTTTTAGGGTTTTAGGGTTTAGGGTTTTAGGGTTTAGGGTTTAGGGTTTAGGGGCACAAGTATCCAAACATGAAGGTGTACTCATTAGTAGGGGTCAGCAGTAGGGGGACGGTATGTATCGTCTCAGCTGAGCTGCCTCTAAGCCTATTTATAGCTACCCCATGAGTCTTCCATCACCCCCGAAACCCGAAACCCTACCCGAAACCCTAAACCCTAAACCCTAAACCCTAAACCCTAAACCCTAAACCCTAAACCCCAGACCCGGAACTTCCCTCAACCCTATGTGAAACTAGCCGTCAACCTCGAAGCCAGCTCTGCTCTGCTCGATTACCTAAACCCTAAACCCTAAACCCTAGAACCTAAACCCTAAACCACTAAGCCCCTAAACCCCTAAACCCCTAAACCCTTAAACCCCTAAACCCCTAAACCCCTAAACCCCTAAACCCCTAAACCCCTAAACCCCTAAACCCTTAAACCCTAAACCCCTAAACCCCTAAACCTTAAACCCGTAAATCCTAAACCCTAAACCCTGAACCCCCTCCGCAATCACTCGTACGAAGTCGAGGAAGTGAGCCGTAGAGCTTCAAAACGCCCTCTAATCTAGATCTCACGGCTCAGGGTTCAGGGTTTAGGATTCGGGGTTCAGGGTTTAGGGTTTAATTTGGGGGCGGTTTCCGCAAATCGGGGTACCCTTTCTGGTGCTTCTCTACAGCTGAAGGAAGTAGAGCCGAAGTGAGACTGGTACTTGCAAACCAAATCGAAGACCTACCTGTATTCTGAAATCGCCATTTCCCGTAATGCTAACCCTTGAGCCCAAGATTGTGGATTACTCAATGGATGCAACGATGCAACGAAGTCAAAAGACTCATGTGACCCCAACAGATATGTTTCCCAAATCCAACCTCCCCATCCCCCCTGACCTAAGCCCTAAGCACTCGCAAACCCCATAGCATCGACGTCATACAGCCTGCAAACCCCTATGCACATATATACATTGGCAAGTCAAATCCATCTTCACCCTGCAGCTATATATAAACCCCCTGAAGCCCTGAAACCCTGACACCCCAAAACGGTCCCTAGCCAACCCTCCAAACCCCCAACAAGCCCAAGCAAAAACCTTCCCAAAGCCCCAAGCACAACACAAATCTTCAACCCCCTTGAACAACATCCCGACCCTGAATCTAACCTGCCACTACTATTTGCTTGAGAACCCCCCCCCAAAAAAAAAAAAAAAAAAACAATGAATAATACCCTTACTGCCCTTATAGGTAAGAATATGTTGAGCTTTTTGTGGGTTCATAAAGCAAGCAGTAGGCTAGGCACTGGTCTGGCACAGGCAAACTGACAAGCGCGGCAGCGAGGCGGATAACGGTCAAGTGGACCTGGGAGCAGCAAATTCCCAGACCCAAGGGTGGTTTAGGGTTTAGGGTTTAGGGTTTAGGGTTTAGGGTTTAGGGCTTACGGCTTAGGGTTTTGGGTTTTGGTTTGAAGGGCCTTAAGGGAACCTGGACCCCGCCACAAAAACAGGGATAAGGGCCTGCTCTGGGTCCTAGAGATCTCGGCCCGGTTGAGGATAAACATCGGCCACTAACTTCAACATTACATTCTCAGAGGCCTCTTCCCTTAGGACACCCTAATCCTACACCCTATACACCCTAAATCCAAAACCCCGAAAAGCGCAAACCCTAAACCGAACACCCCTGCCAGGCTGCTTGGGGGCTCAAGGCAGGGAGAGAAGGTGAATGGGGGGAAGCTGGGGCTTCGGAAGCTGGAGGGCTTCGGGAGCTGGAGGGCTTCGGAAGCTGGAGGGTTTCAAGGTCTGGCTTGGGATTTGGGGTTTAGGGTTTAGGGCTTAGGGTTTAGGGTTTAGGGTGTAGGGTTTAGGGTCTAGGGTCTAGGGTTTAGGGTACTGCTGGACCCTCAAGACCTTACTTGCACAGGATCTTTCGATCAGCTGCGCCGCTCCCGAGAAGAGTAAAGGCCGCAAGCCCAGAAACCCCAAACCCTAAACCTTAAATGGGAGTTCCCAGCTTCAGGGTTCCCCCCCTTTCTACTATCTACCGCTTCAGGGTGCCCCTTTCTACTATCTACCAAAAGTTAAAGAGAACAGAAAACCCTAAACCCTAAACCCTAAACCCTAAACCCTAAAACCCTAAACCAGAGTCCCTCCTTAAGAGGCACGGTGGTTGCTTGGGCCTCATACTCGAAGGACAAGCTAAGGCCGATGCTTCCCTTCATCTCTGGAGAATGAAGCGTTTAGGGTTTAGGGTTTAGCAGGGTTTAGGGTTTAGGGTTTAGGGTTTAGGGTTTAGGGTTTAGGGTTTACAACAACAAAGTCTGAAACCTGCATGGGGGTTTCGAACTTAGGGGTACCTTTTTGGGGTCCTTATTCTTCTGGAATCCTACTACTTGGGGGGAAGCGGGGGTCTGTATTAGGGGCTCCCCTTTGTCCGTAAACCCCCACATACCCAAAACTTCCTAAACCATAAACCCTAAACCCTATAAACCCTAAACCCTAAACCCTAAACCCTAATTAAACCATAAACCATAAACCCAAAACTTCCTAAACCCGAAACCCTGGGATGTTTTTTAAGGGTGATCCTCATTCAAGCTCAGCGGCGAGAGCGCTTCCATCGACCTGGCGGCCAGGCGCTCAATCCGCACGGATTCATCAACCCTAAACCCTAAACCCTAAACCCTAAACCATACACCCTAAACCCTAAATCCTATGCGCCCCATACACCCTAAACCCTTAGCATCTGCAAGCTTGAGGGGTTTAGGGCTTAGGGCTTAGGGTTTGGGGTTTAGGGACCCTAGAACCAGCCTAACCACCAAAACCTGTAACTTTAAAACCAAAAACCCCTTAAAGCCATAAAACCTTAAGCCGACGAACCACAGGATTGCAACGTCCTGGGCGCAGATCGAGCTGTGTCAGCGGCCCAAAAAACCACTTAAACATGAGGATCCTTCTATTCCGAAAGCCTTGCTTGCAGGATCCTTATGTTTATGTGCTTCTTTGGGCCCCTATGTGTGCAGCTCTGAACTGGAAGGGGTGTCCGGGGGTCTAGGTCCTAAATACACCCTCAAGCCCTTAGGCCTCCCAACTCTTGATCTGTCCTGTCTAGCAATTTCTTCACGCGTGTGATCGTCCATCGCCGTCTGGCGATGTCTAGCCTTGAACACAGTTCGGCTTGAGACGATGGCCGCGCTTCATGCAAAGCATCGTCAAGCCTGAGAGATGTGGGAGAAGTAGCATTTGCGAGGGGTTGGACTGACTTGCGAGACTTGTTCGTGTCTTACTGTAATAGACCCAGAAAGGAAAGCGTAACTGAGATCAACCCTTCGTATGTGTCCTTTCTACCTCAATGCAGGGGCTGCTGTGTTGGGCATGAGCCGCACAACAGTCCTATTCCGTGCCGCCACTTTCTGTGCGCTGCCTCCCCAGAAGCCATTGAACTTACGGCTAACATTGTACCACTGACTTGCATTTTATCAAGCTTCTGTCAGACCCCTACATATTTAAGCAAAAGTTCAGTTGGCTAAGTGAGGAGGAGAAGGAGCTGTGATTCAGCTGCCCTTGCCTGCGCGTGGCCGGCTGGGTTATGCTGTCCGGGCCACTACTTGAGAATGCTGTCAGACACGACCCGGAACTTTCGCAGAAGCGGACGCACATATCCCCGGAGAGGCCCTTCCACCTCGGTCTCCTGAGGCCAGGTTTTCTCTCGGATCTGATGGATCTGGGAGTCCTCAATGTAGCAGTACCCTGCATCCAAGGACTCCTCCAACTGCTTGACCCTGGCTTCCAACTTCTGCCGCTCGGCATGCTCCGCTTGCAAAGCTGCAAGCCACCCACCAGTCTTTGCGAGGTGCTCCTGAGAGGTCGCTGTGTCCTAGGATGGCCCTTTCAAAACCCTCTGAAAGACTTTCCCAAATTATGACCCTCCTAAAACCCCCTAATAAGGGGATACATAAAGTATCCCAAGAGCCCCACCTAGTTTCCGCGCTGCCCTTATCCTCGGCCAGCTTCCGCGAGACGTCTCTGTACTGAGAGATGCTGCAGTGCTTCACCTGAGCGTCCAAGCCTGCATGCCTTGCTGCGGCCCGCTCCACTTTCTCTGCCACCTGGGCCAAGTCTCGAAACGACAGACCTTCGGTGATGGAAGCCAACTCGGCCAACTCAGGCATCACCAGGTGCTTGGCATGTGCAGCCCACCATGCCTGGCGTTCTGGTAGGCCGGGCAGATCAATCTTGAGGCAAGAGCTGCGAGACACCACCGCTGGGTCGATGTGCTCGAGAACGTTTGTGGACAAACAAAGGAAAGCGCCCGCCATGACGTGGCTCTCCTTCTGTCCCTGTAGTCCGTCCACCCACGTCAAGAAGTCGTCGATCAGTTCCACCTTGGTGGTGACCGTCACGGATGCGTAGTTCATCATTGGGCCCCGGCTTCGGAAGATGCCTTCGCACTCATCCAGGAAGACGATAGATCTGCTGAGGCTCCCAATGGTCTGCAGTACTTCGTCGAACAAGCTCCGCGCCTCCCAACTGTCCGCCATGGCTTTGACATCCAGCACCCACGGCTGCAGATTCAGCAGCGATGCCAGCATGCGCATGGCATGCGTCTTGCCCGTGCCCGGAGGTCCATGAAGCAAGATCATCTTTCGGCCACGAAAGATCTGGCTTGGTCGTGCACGGCAGTGCTCTCGAAGTGCCTGCCAAGTAGGGGAACCCTGAACGCGAAAACCTAAACCTTGTAAGCCCTGAACCCTAAACCCTAAACCTTACAAGCCCTGAGCCCTAAACCCTAAACCTCATAACTCCTGAACCCTAAACCCTAAACCTTACAACCCCTGAACCCTAAACCCTAAACCTTTTAAACCCTGAACCCTAAACCCTAAACCTTGTAAACCCGAAACCCTGGACCCTAAACCCAAAACACTGAACCCTGAACCCTAAACCTTATAAACCCTGTATCCCAAGCCCTAAACCTTATAAACCCGGAACCCCTTAGTTAGCATACTGTTCGCCTAGGGCTCCAAGTATGCAAATAATACCTAACATTGGGGTCTACAGTCGGTAAATAATACCTCCTTTGGGATATTTGGAGCCCTAAACCCTAAACCCTAAACCCTAAACCCTAAACCCTAAACCCTAAACCCTAAACCCTAAACCCTAAACCCTAAACCCTAAACCCTAAACCTTCGGGTTCACCCTTCAGGCAGGTCCCTCTCGCGATTGGGTGCAAGGCTAAGGCTGCCCCCACGCTCCACAACCACAACACCTACTTAGGACTCATGCTTTTGGAAGCAAACAAGCGTCCACAGCGTCCCTTCCTGTAGGGTTTAGGGTTTAGGGCTTAGGGCTTAGGGTTTAGGGCTTAGGGCTTAGGGCTTAGGGCTTAGGGTTTAGGGTTTAGGGTTCGGGGACGTGCAGGAGTTTAAGGTTTGGGAGTTCCTTCAGACAAGCCCGAAGTCCCCTGCCCTCAGAACATGCCTTTAACCGGCGCTGGAAGTCTGGATTCATGCACTCAGCCAAGTGCATGAGCTCGTCCTGGAGGGTTAAGGATTTAGGGTTTAGGGTTGAGGGTTTAGGGCTGTGTCTTCGTGAGACTTTATGGTTTCAAGGCACCTCTACTTACCACTCCTTATGCAGGGACTTACTTGTGGGGTGTTGCCATACAGTGCCATGAAGCATCAAGCCTCCGGAATGTGTATTTCATATGGAGCCCCGGAGGATTCCTGGATCCAAAAACCCCATAAGAGGGAATATACATATACATACATACATACATATATATATATACACCTTATATAGTCCCTATACACCTAAGTAGCCCCTAAATAACCCTGAAACAAATCAAACCAAAAAAAAGCTGCAGCCAGTCTTTGAGGTGCTCAGGTGCAAAGTAGCTGTCCCAGCTCAATGTGTCGTCACTGGGCAGCTGCTTGAGAACCGAGGCCACGTCCACCTCTGCCTTCTTGCCGTTCGCGCCTTTCCTTTGGCTGCTGGCCTTCTCCATGGGGGGCTGTTTCCGAGGGAGGGAACTGCCTACTGTTCTCTTGAGCCGGCTGATGGTATACCGGCCTGAGTATGGAATCCAACATGAGCTCCAGCCACCCGTGAAACAAGCCCTAAGCCCTAAGCCCTAAGCCCTAAGCCCTAAACTCCCCGCGTTGGGCTCCCTCTCCAACACCCTCCGAAACTGCCTCGAGCTCCTCCTCGAGCGCGCAGAAGTCATGGCGGCCGGAGTCCTTGCCAGAGGGTTTAGGGTTTAGGGTTTAGGGTTTAGGGTTTAGGGTAGACAGGTAACCATGCCCCTGCCGACCCGAAAACCAACCCTCAAACCCAAGAACCCAAACAAAAGTCACCTCTATTCACGTTGTTTGCGTTCGAAGCAGAGACCTTGAATGGAGACATGCATCCCAGTGTGTAGAGATCGACACACTACATCATGTGGTTTGCATCATGATGACCGAACCACAGCTCCTAAAGGAACAGAAAAACCTGTAAACCCTAAACCCTAAACCCCAAACCCTAAACCCCAAAGCTTTGGTGTCTAGGGGCGAAAATCGCATACGATTGTTTCAGGAAGTGCTTCCGGCATCGACAGGCTATGGTGCTTCTCGCGCTTGGCCACTTTCCTTTCCATGTCACTTTGCAAGCCTAAACCCTAAACCCTAAACCCAAAACCCTAAACATCAACCAACTCAAACCTTAAACCCCAAACCGCGATGGCCGAGAGCGAAGCCTTCTCTGGCCGATCGAAGATACACTCCAGTGGGCCGTGCTCCACCTAGGTTGAAGCGCTGTTGACCGAAAACTGAGACGGGGTTCCTGGTGTGGGTATAATTTTGCCCGAAGCCTGCAGCCTAAGCCAACCTCAACCAGAGGCCCAAAGCAGCGCAATACGACACACTGGGAACAGTATGGGTGGAGGGACACCGGAAGTCTAAGAGAGGTTTAGGGACGCTTCCTTTAAGATTCCTGTAGAGACACCCTACTGCAAACCCACCTCGGGATGTAGACCCCAGAGACTCCAAAACCCCTTAATTAATCTACCTGAAATCATATTAGGGTTCCTATTCTACTTTATTTAAATACCTTAAATCATATTAGGGTTCCTACTCTAACTTATATAAGGTATATACCTTGATTAAGGGGTTTTGGAGTCTCTGGGGACTAACCCGAACCAAACCCGAAACCCTAAACCCTAAACCCTAAACCCTAAACCCTAAACCCTAAACCCTAAACCCTAAACCCTAAACCCTAAAACCCAAAGTCCATACCGAGGCTTGGACGGAGCCCAACCTGAGGAGGAACTGGAGGTGTGCACCTGGTGTAGGGCTTAGGGTTTAGGGTTTAGGGTTTAGGGTTTAGGGTTTACGGTTTAGGGTTTAGGGTTTAGGGTTTACCCGAAAACCCTGAATATAGCCCTATGAAGCCCTGCAAAGAGTAACCTTGTACCTCCAGAAGGGTAGATGTCATGGCCTTGGCTTTGAAGGGTATAAGGCTTACTCTACCTAAACCCTGAACCCCAAACTCAAAAAGCCTAGCAAGAATAAGTTGCCTACATCAAGGATCCTGCCACCCTGAACCCTCAAGGGTTTAGGGTTTACTGGGTTTCGGGTTTATAGTCAGCCTAGAGACTTGCTCGGTATCTCTTCCGTCCCGCCTTGGGGTCCGGTCAAGTAGAGTGAGCAGTGACCAGGTTTTGTCCGGCGACGTGATCCCAATGGGAAGAGCCTGAAACGGTTTAAGGCACATAGAGCCCTACATTTTGACTGCCCATGAACCTTTCAAGTAGGTCCCCCCAGTTGCTTGGAACGTACAAGGGCAACCTTTCTTTTGAAAATCGGTTGATAAGGGGAAACCTAAAGGATGCTACCCTGAGGGCCCATGTACCCGTATAGTAGATACTCGGGTACTACTGCCACGATGTAGGAACGTACATACCCCAAACCCAAGACGCTAAAGCCTAAACCCTTAGACCCTTGAATTTACTGTAAACCCTAAACCCTTATACCCTTGGATATACGTACTACATAGGTAATATGGGGGGTCGGAATAATTACTAATCATATTCCCTTATGGTCCCTTTGGAAGTATACTAAAGTAACCCCACAAAACCCTATTCTAATTATTTCCGGCCCCTACAAGGAGGGGCCCCCCCTAGTTAGAAGTAGAGTTATAAGGACCCTAAATTGGGTTATAAGGATCCTAACTCAGGTTAGAAGTCCCTTAACAATAGTTAATATAGTAAGGGGGCCCCTCCTTGTATATTAGATGGACTCTTTTGGCAAGAAACTCAAGGGCCCCCAAGGCCCTTGTCAGGTCCGCCAAGCGGGATTCGAATGCCTAGTCTTGGGGTTCAGAGTTTAGGGTTTAGGGGCTTTCGGGTTTAGGGTTTAGGGTTTCGGGGGGGTTTTGGGGTTTAGGGCTTCAAATTCGGGGTTTCAGGGTTTGACGGGCTTTCAGGTTAAGAGGCGCATGTGGGGTCGGGGTTACGGCTTTGTGGGCTTTGGGGGCTTTCGGGGCTTTGGGGCATTCTCGGGCAGTTAGTCACCCCATGAAGGTTGCACCTCGGAACATTTCAGCCGCAGGGTTTAGGGTATATGGTTTAGGGTTTAAGGTATGTGGTGTAGGGTTTTGGGTATGTGGTTGAGGGCTTAAGATACATGGTTTAGGGCTGATAAGGTACAGGGCTTCGGGTTTCTGCGGCCATGCTGCTTCAGACGCAGCGCCTGCCAGCATGACACATGCTTCAAGGTTTGTTAGGGCCACGGGGATGTAAGCTTTGGGGTAGGGGCCCTCGAAGGCTTGCCTCCAAGGGCGTTTATAGATGCTCTGGTTGGAGGCACCGAAGTTTAGGGGCTTGAAGTGCTTGTTTTAAGGGCCCCAGATCACTCCATGTTAAAGGGTAACCTTTCAACATTGTTTTGGGGGGAGCGGAGTGTTGGTGGAGGGCGGAAACCTCAAAAATCCAAAGCCAAAGGTCGCATAGGGCTACAGGAAGTATCTGTCCTCAATGGGGTCCCAGATGTTGTTCGGCTGCTTGCATCACAAGTTTAAGGACCATCAGGTACTTGATCCGTCAGAGCTGAGCCTGAGGTTTACGGAGCTTCTGAGGTTTTCAAAGTAGCTGTAGAGCCCTGGAAACTGTTGGGGCTGGCTCTGAAATTTGGGTGTTTCTGAACATGAAGGGCTACGGCTTGAGGGTTTACGGTTGTCAAGAAGCTTTGGAGTTTTTGAGCTTGAGCTTCGAAACGGGAGAGTAATCTTCCAAAGACGTCCTGCCTTGACCTCAGGAAACTGCTCCACGTCCTGATGGCAAGTGACGCTTTCTGGAGGTTGTAAGGGAACCCGAAGCCCGAAAACCTAAACCCTAAGACTAGGACTCGAACCCTAAAACCCTAAAACGCCCTTTAAAACCCTAAAACCCTGAAACCCTAAAACCCTAAAAACCCTGAAAGCCCTAAAACCCTAAAACCCTAAAACCCTAAAACCCTAAAACCCTAAAACCCTAAAACCCTAAAACCCTAAAACCCTAAAACCCTAAAACCCTAAAACCCCAAACCCTCGAAGCCTTCAGAACTGGAGAGATTTTAGGGTTGAGCGCTCAAGGAAAAACCACAAGCCGCATGAGCCCGACAAGGCTAAGACACCCTCTAGAACGTAAACTTGGTAAAGCCTAGAAACCTCAGTTAACCGATACAAAAGCCTCTAGAACCTCTGCCCCAAAACACACAAACCCAAGATCCCACACCCCCAAAATCCCCAAACGCGATTTATTTCGTTCCGCTAAACCCTAAACCCTAAACCCAAAACCCTAAACCCTAAACCCCAAACCCTAAAGAGCAAAAGCCCCTAAACCGCAGCCCCGGCCGGAGTGCGTCACAAAGCTCAAACATGGGCTCTCACCACGCCCAGGCCCGACACCCGCAACTGCACCCCAACCACAACTCCCATGGGCTAGGGTTTAGGGTTTAGGGTTTAGGGTTTAGGGTTTAGGGTTTAGGGTTTAGGGTTTAGGGTTTAGGATTTAGGGTTTAAGGTTTAGGGTTTAGGGTGTAGGGTTTAGGATTTAGGGTTTAGGGTTTAGGGTGTAGGGTTTAGGGCTTAGGGTTGAGGGTTTAGGGGGAAACAGGGAGGCTGAACTCATCTTCACGGAGCCCTGTATATACTTACATTGAGGCTGGAGCTGTGCAGTGTTCAGAGGCTTCAGGCTTTAGGGCTTCGGGCTTTAGGGCTACGCCTCGAACTGAACTGAAGATCCCCGTCTTTGTTGCGGGTGCGAGAGGCAGGAGAATTTGGCAAGGTGTTCCGGGGCTCCTAAGCCCTAAAAACGGCTCAAACCCATCCTCCCTGTGAGGCCCAGTGAGGCCCACTGAAACCCCGACTGACCACCTAACACCACCCCTGGCCCATCACCCTAAACCCTAAACCCTAAACCCTAAACCCTAAACCCTCAACCCTAAAACCTAACCCTAAACCCAACCGCGGATCAGTCAAGCTCATGAGGGCCCTCTCCAGGAGCTGCAGCCTTCGCAGCTTTCTTGGCCAACGCCTCCAGGGCCGCTTCTTCTCCACAGATTCCTTCTGCAGAAGGCCTCTTTCTGCTGGGCCTCCAGGGCCGGCTTCTGCTTGTACCATGGCCCCTTAGTATTAGGGCCCTTTTTTAAGGGTGGCCCTTTATAGACCCCTTTCAGACCCTGATACAAATTAAGGGCCCGCAACCCTAAACCCTAAACCCTAAACCCTAAACCCTGAAACTCCCCTTGGAAACGAAGGACTTCGGCACCGGAGCTCCCCTATGGAACCCTGTTTAGGGTTGTAGAGGGCACCTTACACTAAGGGTCCTTGTACCTCACTGTTGTGTACTTGGGCCCTAAAGTCCCGAAATGGAGGCACTTTAAGGCCCAAGTCTTCCCTTATTTAGGTACATGGACCCTTTGGGTTCGTTCCCCGATCCCTAAACCCTAAACCCTAAACCCTAAACCCTAAACCCTAAACCCTAAACCC